AGGGTGTGGGTCACATGCTATTTTGCAGATTTTATAAACAATGACCGATATGAATGAACCGTGGGACTACAAACACATCATGTTAGGTCACAAAAACTAGCAACTCAAGCCTCTGCGATTGAAAGTGAAGAAGTCACAGGAAACCTTGTGGGGGTGGTGGTGGTGCACTGCCCCGGAGAACCTCGGAAACGGTTCAAATTGTTGATTGGAAGATTGAAGTTTTTATGTCAAGATTGGGAAAAGTTCAGTAGCCTCGGTGGGATTCGAACCCATACATGGACACCGTCTATGCTTTTGTACAGCGCATGTTCTACCAGCTGAGCTGCGAGGCCACACCAATAGCACTGATCTTTTCACATTCCAACTGGATGCACTTTCGTGCGTCGGTTTTGGTTGCTGTCTTTTGGCCGCCCACTTGGATAAAATAACAGAATGATGGTTAGAATGTTGAGAATAGATTCAAGCGGACGATAGCGCATTTACAGACTGAAGTTTAAACAATAATGAGTAAATGCATGAGCGCCACTGTTTGCGACATCCAGCCATATCGCTCGGGGTCTCTAACCACCAGTGACTATGATCTCTGGGTCCCGTCCAGGGAGCCTAACGAAACCTATTTGAGCCAGTTTCCAGGTAGGGTTTTTATACCCTCATGCCATCATTAATATTTTTCCAACCGCCACCGATGTTGGAGTTGGCGGTCTCCATGTAAGGCGGTGCCGTTTTTTATGCGAGAAGTTTGTGCTTGACAGAAACAGTCCGTGGTCAGCACAAAGTTGGAGTAGGCGTTCTCCGTTGTCAGTCCTGTTGGTTGGGATTGCATGCGGACCACCAATTAGCCTCTGATTCGTCCAGAGATCCCACTTGAGCATTGAAGTCTCCAGCGACCACCACAATGTCCGTTGACCGAGCGCTTTGGAGCAGTGGAGGGAGGTCCTTGTAGAATTCATCCTTTATTTCTGGTGAACTGCAATCTGTCGGTGCATACGCGGATACGACGAATAAGCATCGATGCTTCGTTCTATAGCTGTTGACGCGTACTGAACCATCCAAACGTACGGCGCAAAGTCGGCTGTTAACCGGGATCCATTCGAGAAGTGAACGCTTGGCCTTTACATTTAGCGCAATCCCAACGCCAGCAACACCGCGAGCTTCGGATGCCGAATCGCCTGACACACGGAGAGTGAAGCTTGAGGATGAAGCCAGATCTGGAGAACGGAGGGAGATGACTGAAGTAGGATCTTGTGTGCGTGTTTCGAAGACACAGCATACATCTAAATGGTAGGTTTCAAGGGTTCTGGCTAAGGCGGCTTGTTGACCGATCTGGTAGAGCGTGCGGACATTGAGTGCGGCTAAGTGGAAAGGAGATTTTGGTTTCAAAAGTCTGATAGCCTGAGTGGATGGCCTCATCAGCTGAACACTGAGTGATATCTCATGGATAGCGCAAACAGGATGCATCTCTCAAGGTTTGGAAGTGAGAAGAGAAAGTGGACTGTTGAGAAATATGGTTTTCCAAATGTGTACCTAAGACTTTTGGGTACTGCATACTTTGCGGTTGCCCACACCGACGAAGGGGTTTTTCTTTGGGAACCCTAATCGGAGCCTTTGACTCAAAAGTCTTACCCCAAAGGCAGTGGGACGTAAGTCCAATGTGGAAGCATGAACGAAGCACCTATCTAACGGGGGTCTTTTATCCAGTAAACTGCCCCTTACTGTGTTTATTTGTTGGAGTGACTTCTCCAGGGGCGGATGTGGATAGAAGAAGGAAGCCAGGAGGTGCCCAAGCAGCTGGCCTTGTGGGACAGATCTTCGGCCATTGACCATTCAGGCACGATTGGATCTGCAACTGTGAGGAGCCATCCTGTATAGCTCGCGGGGCAATTGAGGCGCGCAAGCTAACACAGCACGCCAAGGTGCATTCTCGTCGTGATGGGCTGACCACACCAGAAGCAGTTGGCTGTGATGTGGTTCTGGGGAGGGCTTGTATCGGAAGTTGAAGCTCGACGATAACAAGTAATAATTAGTACAATTTCAGTTTGAACATCCATTAACCATGCACTTTCGTGCGCCAGTTTTGGTTGCTGTCTGTCCGTTTGGATGAACAGTAGGAGAAAGACAGCAGAGTTGAAAGTAGAGTCGAATAGAAGAAAATGGAGAAGTTCAGTGGACTAAGGTTGCAAAGAAATTGAGACGCTCGGAGGCCATTGTCTACGACACGCAGCCGTATCACTTAGGTCACCGGGACAGCTAAGGGACGGCAGTACCCGATGGTCAGGGACACTGAATGATGTGGCCGGGTGTCGTAAACAGTGGGGTTCGTGTACCTCAATTTCTCTGTAACATTAATCCACTGAACCTTTCAATTTTCCCTTTGATCCGAATTTCAACCTTCCCTACCTTTCTCCTAATGTTCATCTAAATGGGTAGTCGAAAGATAGCAACCAAAACCGGCGCACGATAGTGCATGGTTAATGGTTGTACAAACTGAACTGAACATATCACTTAGTGTCTCTAACCACGGGTTACGATCACACGGAGGTCCCCAGATAGGGAGTCTAATGGGATCTATGGGACCCAGACTCTTGGTTAGAGTATTCATGCCCATATGGTAGGTTTTAACTTGACCACCTTGGCTTTATTCCACCCATTACTGCCTCGGCGAACATCGCTCGCCGAGGCAACCTATTTGGTAACAGGCCTAACACATGCCCCAACCAACGTAATCTATGGAGGTTGACCGCTAGCCCCAGTGGACGACCGCGGTTACCCTTAAACTTCTCAGCATTGCTCGTCCGGTGGCCCCGCCAGACTCGTGCAATGCTGCGTAGACAATCTACTCTTATCCTGCTCCCGCAATGGCCAAGTTCCTGCGCCGTATAGCAGAACTGGTCAAAATACTGCGGCATACACTCGACTCTTCACAAACAGCCGGATGTCACGACGGCGCCACAGATGTCTCCAGTTGACAAATGCCAACCGAGCCTTCTGTATGCGAGCTGACACTTCACTCGCGATGCATCCACTGGGTGAGCTGCAGCTGCCCAAATAAAACTTGTCTACCTCCCCGGTCAGGGTGAGGTTGAGGGACGGGCCAACGCAGTCTTGTTGCAACATTTTACACTTTGAATGTGCGAAACGCATACCGAACATGGCTACGCTGATACTCAAGCTACCCAGAAAGCTTGTAACTTACCTGGATCTTCACTTAGTAGCACAATGTTGTTTGCATACTCTAGATCAGACAGTATGTCACCAGGGAGTAAATCTATGCCACTATCCTCGCACTAGGATAGGGTTGTTTCCACAATCTGACCAATACTACTACTAAGTTAAATACAAAAGGAGAGGAAGAGAGAACAACCCTGTCGAACACCACTTTCCGTGGTGAACTCGGGTGGAAAAGTGCCGTAAGCTCGGACTCGACTTCGGCGATTAGTATAAAGGGATGGTATTATTGAGGTAAACTTCTCGGGCACACTCTTCAAGGAAACGCAGCACCAGAGTTTACAGCGATCGACTAAACAGAACTCGGATATGTTTTCACCCTTCTCTCTCCGTTCACTGGTGGAGTAGATAGAAACGACCTTCTAGATAGCCTTTGGGGAAGCGTTCAGTTCTCCCACGTGTGTATTAAACTCACCTTGACTCACTCCAAGCTTCGCTTACGCTGAACGGAACGACCGTGTGAACGGATCGGATCTTACACTAATCTCACATTCTCCAGAATTGTTGACAAAAGATCCGGAATACGTGCAAATAATGTAGGTTTGCCGTATTCTACGGTAAATAGCTAGACAACCTGTTTTTTAGGTCAGTCGAGAGCACCAGGGTTTTTTTGGTAGGATAGGGACTAAACAAGCTGTCACAACTTAATTCTCTATTGAATCACAAAAGGGTGAATGAGAAAATCCGGTTTTTGTCTATATTATTTGACCAAGTTGGGAGTTCTAGCTGGTCAGATTATACTGAACATTGAAGGAATACGCCAGACGATCTCGAATAAATTCGTTCATTTGGAAAGAAGTGAATAGCCCATTGAACTTTTAAAAGCAAATGCTTGAAACGCGTATTTTGATTACACACTTCCATGTGTGTACATGTGCAAATACGTTCTGCTAAGCCGGCAACCTAACCCCGAGACTGGAAGTGGAGAAGCACGTGCGTGTCAGTGTAGTCAGCGCGATAAGTTTGACGATTTGATTAACTAGGGCCGGGGGAACCAAGTTTGAAATAGAAAGAAAATATTTTCTACATGTTGACATAATAACGGGAACCTGGATACCCTCGGGTTAAGCAGAGCTGAATGCTACCAGGCGCGTCTCCGGGTTGTGGATAGGGGGATATCTTCATCGAATAAGGTTAACTGTGAATAAGTTGAGTCCAACCGCAACAAAAAAGCAGTCGCGAACAAACAACGGTGACACTACCAGGGTGTGGTGGGTTTCAGTTTGGTCACCCAGCCGCCCCATAAGCCCAATGGCGGTGTTATGACAAAGGTTGATGTGACTGGCCTTTAAAACTAAATGCATTGACCCGCTCACTTCCGAGGAGAGGGATTACTTCCTGTTGCCTTGCAGCTCGCACCTGGTTGTGCAAGGGTTAGAGGTGCGCCCTCAAAATAGAAGACGCAGGGGACGACTGGCCGACTGTGATGCATTACACTATTTTTTATGACTACATGGAGTTTCATTTTATTTATCACTTGTATTAATGATTCAGGTATAGACAGTAATTTATATCTTGTCTACTGCGATCTACGTAGTTTCTAGTCTGCATAAGTGTCAGTTAAACGTGCCTGACCGTGAGTGCCAAGATTAAATGATTAGAACATGAAAACCACAAACTTTATCAAGTATGACAACGCAATATTTTCTAATAGGAATGACTCAAGAATTATCCCAAATTATTTCCATAAACCCTTGCCACCCTTGTTATTTGTTATGAGGCATTATTCTATCGAATATATAATCCATTATAACAACTTTATTGAATAACCAAAGAAATTCTTTCACAACCCAGAGAAATTGCATTGAGGTTTCATAATAATAATCTATTTTTGATATTTAACTCACTGAATTCGATAAATATCACTTCAATCAAAGTCAAAGGCACCATGAATAGTGGGAAATTTGCATCAATAACTACGAAAATGTTTCCAGAATTTCATGAAAAAAACCGCTTAAAAAAGTTTTCTCAGGATAACGCTCCGTGTCATGTTTCACGAGAGGTTAGTAAATTTATTAATTTAAGCAGTCTGATTCTCTTATTACTTGCGTCAGTTACCTCTTAACTTATCATGGTCTAGGTCAACCACTGCGGATGAAATGGGAGTATCCGCTACATTCTGAATCATTCCATCTGCTGAGTACAAACGGATCACGAAAATCACGGCTATAAAGAGATTCGCCAAGTCTTGTTTATTATTATTTGGAGAGAAGATTTACTTCAGTATAAAGGCTGTTGCCTATACGAACCTACAAGTGTTTCACAGGGACCCGTTGCTTCAGTTTCGATTAGACCTGTATATATATATTTCACACCTGTTTGAGGACAGACTGTGTGACAGACAAAAATCTTTATATAAAGTATAATAACGAGGATGTAGTAATATAATGTGATACTAAATGATTGCTTTAAAAACGTATGCAGTTGCATCTGTCTACCATACGAGAAAGGAAAGGAGGAGAGCGATTGAATGAGAAATCTACCTGGCTCTGTGGCGAAATTTCCTTTGATACCGATACCGTTGCGTTTCATGGCCAGCAAAGCATCTCGGAAAGTGGTCTCATCACAATCTTGATCCACATGTATCTCTTCAAAATCGATCGGGGCACCAATGAGTTGATATACTTCTTTCACATAACCCATAAACTCCGGTCCAAGACCATCTCCAGTCAACATGGCTACCGTATGCCGTCCACCGTAGCAGGCCTTGGGCAACTCGTGATGGAATCCAATATTCAG